TTCACTGCTTTGTTAGTCAGGAAATAGGGTGAGCTTGACACATAACAGCCTAATGTACGGATTCCGGGGGCGGGGGCAAAAGAAAGACAGGGATTAAATGAATGGAGGCAGCAGAACACAGCATTCATCCTAAAATTTAACAATATAGAATGATCAGATCATATAGACATGAAGTTAACGCAGGCTGTCTCTGAAAAGAGCCACAAAATGGATTTTTTCTTGGCAACAAACCACTCATTTCAGACCTTTCCACCTACACGCTTGCACCCTGCCAAGCTGCTCACATTTCTCAAGTGCGTAAGGACAGGTAGTGCCTGTTCGTACATTTTAGTAATCAATGGGTCTTGATGGAAATGGGTGATTACGGGTGGGTGGGGGGAGAGATCAAAGGCACACATGAGGTCAGATGGGACTGTAGATGTGAAAAATAAGAGGCCCTTGAGAATACCGTTGATAGTTGAACTGCAGTAAGGATGAGTAAAGCCCGCATGGAAGACCTTTGAAAATGGAGAGAAGAAGACATATGCTAAATGTTGGGGTCATGCGTTCTGACTTCACACAGCTGTGGATAGCTTAAATGGCTTGTTTCATTCATTAGGTGAAATTATACTCTGCCAGTGATCTCCAGGCAGCATCGCTTTCCTTTTCATGTCACTCTCACAACCGTCCTGCAAGATAAATCAAGTTGAAATGAGTACGGCTAGACCATGGTCACCTTGTGACATCCATGGCCAGATGGGGATTCAAACTCACATCTCCTGAATCCTAGTCCCATGCCATAGTCCCTGTCTCTGGTTTTGGAACCGGAGGAGGGGCGGCGTCACAGCACTCTTGACCGTGTTTTTAATACAAGACTAGGCCAGTGCTTCTCCACGGCTGGCTTTTGTGGTGCCTGACTATGACACAGAACAGCCCAAACAAAGCATTTGTTTGTGAAGCTTGGACAATGGCCTTCTTGGGACGACGCATGGTAAGGGGGTGGCCAGTGCATAGCAGTGACAGCCATTGATTGTTGACAAAACACATGCATTAGGGATCAAGCCAAAGTTTGTGGATGGTCGAGATCAGATCCAGTCCAGAAGGAAGCGAGCGTGTGCTCTCGAGGGTCCCTGAGCATCTCTGGAGCCAAGGCTTGTGTTCGAACTGCCTGAAAATCTGGAACTATAGGCAGAATAAGATTCTCTTCATTTGACTGGGAAACGAGGCTTTGAATTTGTATAATACTGCTAATGATAATCATGTGCCAGCAAGTCAATTCTGACTTACAGTGACCCTTTTCAGGGTGTAATAATAGAATTGGCTTTATCAGAGGGACTTGACATCACCAAAATACATGTTGAAGTCATAAGGGTTTTTTGGCTCCTGGGTCACTACAATACCAATGAGTCCTTCATGGACAGGCCCCTGAGCCATTAGGGTGGTCATCGGGTCTATTTTGTAAAGGACAGCCTTCTACTTGAAGGGTTGCCAGGGAGGCTTGTGGAAATATAAACATTCAAAACAAAACAAAACACCAAACCAAACTATATCATTGGGGGTTTCAGGAAAGAACAGAAATATTTCAGTGAGGACTGAGATAGTCTATCTATGTGCTTAGAATGCTGATGGCGTAAGGAGAAGGCTCAGCCGCAGGAAAGAGAGCGGAATGATGCTGGCATCATCAGCATCAAAATCTTACTGTTGAGACATTTTACCGCAGATCGTTCTTATTTTTCTCTGGTGCAGAAGCTGTCAGAAGGTGTTTCTGTGAGCATGTGCTTAAATCTCCATTTTTGGCACAGTCTTCAAAAGGATGCTGAGGAAAGTTGAAACTTGGTATTCTTAGTTCTAGGTCAGTGCTCGTAGGAGAAATGTGGAAAAGGCACATAGATTCTCTCCCTCGCTTCATGTGGCTGCCCGTGGGCTGCGTCTGTCCAGAGCATGATAGAATAAAGGACTTGGAGGGGCCTATAAGGCCATCGAGTCCAACCCCCCCCCAGCTCAGTGCAGAAATCCAAATAAGATTCCATTTGATAGATAGTTGTCCGGTTTTCTCTTGAACACCT